TCCTCGGGGTAAATGGCCTCCCTACTTTTTTGAAGAGCGTGGTTCGGTGACAACACGCTCCTGAACTCGCCTTGGCCTCCCGAGCCTGAAGGCCCAGCTCGCATATAAGCGGTCTCGGTGTAAGGAGCCCCCGTATAAGCGGTCTCAGTATAAGGAGCCCCCGTATAAGCAGCCTCGGCGTAAGGGGCCCCTGTCGCTTCTTGTACGGGAGGGGCCATCTCGGGCTCCTTGGGTGGATCCGCTGGCGGGTAGCCTGGCACCTCGGGCTCCCCGTATCTTAGGGCAGTTCGGCACGAGTCCATTTGGCAACTCGCTTCCTCCTCTTCATGGCATGAAACAGGTTCCTGCCATGAGTCTTCTCTGCGTCCATCACACTTGCACAAAGAGCTCGGCATCAGAAAAACAAAAGAACGAAAAGCAAAACAAAAGGCAAGCCTCTGAGCAAGGAACCTATCCGAACTCAGGCCGGCCTGGATGAGCTTGGCCTCCGTCAGATAATGGTGGCATTTTAGCCCAAGCCGGGCCCATTCCCGGAGGCCCTTCGCCGTCTCCCTATCTAATGTAACACCGGCATCAGGGGCAGCCATCCCCCACCTGGTTTGGAACGGTCACCCCATTGCACTTTGCACTCCGAAGTAGTCCCGTTTCCACGTCGGGACCTTGTTGGGAAGATCATGTAAAAGCTTGAAACCCGGACGAGGAGATAGGTAGTACGCCCGCCTACGCCCGGGAAGGGGACCTGCTTGCTTCTTAAGCATTAGAATGGAGGAAAAGATCTCAAGGTCTAAAGGCAAAATCTGTTCGCAAAAGAGGGAGATAATCCCAACCAAATTTTGGATAGAATTCGGGTGGAGCTGACCAACGGTAACGCCGAAGTGGTTCATAACCTCGACGATGAGGGGGTGGAAAGGTAGGCGCAGCCCGGCGGCGAGCTGCTCCCAGAATATCACGATCTCGTTAGGACCGTGTTCCCAAGGGAAGTCGCCCGAGGGTATAAAGTAAGTATACTCCCTAGGCAGGTTGAACTGGGTGATAAGGGAGTAAAGCCCCTCAGGCATCATGGTTGAGGGCCCAAACTTGTCCAACGTCCGACCTCGACGGGAGGAGGACGCCAAACTACCCGAGGCGACTCGGCCTACGAGTTCGAACTCTTCCTTGAGTTCCTCCTCGAGCTCTACCTCGGGTTCACTAAGGCTATTGGGGGTTACAGCTCGGCTCGTAGAACCTGCATCTGACCCCCTCGAAGAACTGTCTGAGCTATTCGAGCTAGACATCGGGAAGAAAAGAATACCAGGAAGAAAGCACCGACTCACCCGATGAAAGGCAAATGGACTACGGAAGGTTGACGCGAGCTAAAAGACTTGGACGCGAGTTGGAACTTGGATGCGAGCTCAAGAAGCAAATGCAGGAGAATGGCAATGGAAAGCGACTGGGGGTCCCCCACCATTTATACCAACGGTGATCGAAAACCAACGGTTCTAATCGAGGCAAATCCAATGGCCCACGATCAAGCTGACCGCACGCCTCCTAAGACCGAGACGTGATTGGTCGCATGTCTTTTGAAACTGAAGCAGTGTCGGCGTACGTCTCCTCGCATTAAAGGAGCAGCGACGCATTTTTCAAATTTGAAATAACGCCCGCTGTCACGTCTCCCAGCCACGCGTTTTTTAAATTTTGAAATACGTGCTGTGACGTCTCCCAGCATTTAAAGACGAACTGGCGCATCCCCTGACTTTTTTGGCGCTCGAGAAACCCGGAGATCTCCTGACGAACGCACACTTCGCACTATCAGTAAACCGGTTCAAAGTACGGGTCAAATCCACTTGCCACCTCGCAAAATCCCCGCGCCAGGGCAAGCCCCTTAGCGCGAGGAGTGGGGGGCAATTGATGAAGGAAGATTTGGCCCGACCTCTTGACCACTCAACACGTGGCAAAAGCAACAGCTCGGCACGGCAGTACGCTCGAGGCGCGAGCTCCGAGAGGAGGAACCAGCAGTCCGAGCTCCCCAAAAGGAGCCCAAACTCCCCCTTTGACCTCGAGCCTTACGAGGAGCGCAAGGGGCAAAAACCCGAACTGGCCCGCCCCAGGGCAGTTCGGGCCACACCTCTATCCGAACTCAAGACTTCACCTCGCACACCACTCCAACACTTTGGCTCCAGGCCGCCGAACTGGACAACCGTACCTGACACCAAAGGAGTCCGTATCTTGAGGCAGCGCACCTGACTGACTTAGGATCTGACGCTTGACAGCCGCACTTCAACGCCCACCTGCCACCGCCACCTCCAGTCATAGAGACGGCTCCGACAAAGAGAGCAATGGCAGTTGTCTGCCCCAGCAGAGGTGATGACACCCGAACTGGCAGAAGTGCAGAGGTAATGATGCCCGACCTGACAGGAGCTTGGGAGTGAGTGCGCAAAGTGGTTATAAAATGCTCTCTTCCCCCCAAGAAGGAGGTATGTGATAACTTTGCGCTATCTGGTTTATTATCTTGCCTTTGAGAAGATACTAACTTGAGCTTCGGAGCACTCTCATCGGGTTCCCCCCCGGAGATACTCGCTTTCTCCCCCGTTTTCAGGCACCTTCCGCTCCAGCCAGAGGTAAGAACGTCGACAGCTAGGACCGGCCGGATTGCGCTCCATCAGGGCTTGAGTTAGTTAATTAAAAAGGGGCGAATTCAGTTTTAAACTGATTAGGATTAGCTGAAGGATAAGATAAGTCTTATCCATTTAAGTGTCCAGATCCAAATATAAGATTTGGATTAGGAAACACTCTTATAATTAGATTAAGAGGCTGGTCCAAAGAATGCTATAAATAGGGGCGAATTCTTCAGATTAAACACACAACAATAAATTGCATAATTCTTCCCCAATTTTTGCCACCCCTACCTAGTTCGATCTCCACTTGTAGATATGATCAACAAGAGTTATTGATATTGTTTCTTGGTAGAAGAAGTAATCTAAAGTGGTGCTCACCATCCTTTGCTCGATTATTGCTAAAAAATTCAGGTTTTTGCTGAAAAACCATCCTGCTGATCCTACTTCACTACACATTGTGTCATATTCAGTGGAAGTAGGTTTTGATATTCTCTTTGTGCGTGAACACCTGCATTGAGAGTTACTGTTGCTTCGTATCAAGTATATCCCTCATTCCCTTTTGGTTTCAGATATGGTCTGATTTTAGCATTAAGAACAAACATTGAAAATACAATTTTCTAAATTAGGGAATACGATTTCCGGGAAGGGAGAGAGAAAATTTTTGAAATTTTGCCAACCTTTTTGCATGGCTCGGCCATCCATTCGATGGATGTCCCTTCCCTTCCCTTCACCTCCCTCTCTCTCTCTATTCACCTTGTCTTCCCGCTACCGCCGCTACAACTTGTAGCAACTCTCTCTACCTCTGTCTTCTCTCGCTCTTGCTCTCTCTCTCTCTCTCTCTCTTTCTCTTCGCCCCGTCTTCCCGCCACCGCCACTACAACTTGCAGCGGTCGCTATCTCTCTCCCTCCCCTATCTTCCCACCACTGCCATCGCCGCTACAACATGCAACAACGGTGATTCTATGAATAATAATAATATTTTTTAATTATTAATTATAAATTATTTGTATTAATTATTAATTATTTTTATGCTTTTTTATTGAACATTAATTTTTATTTAATTCACTTGTGTTATTTATTAATTATCTATATTAGCTAGTAATTTTTAATTATTTCATTAATTTTTAAAAAGTTAATTTAGTTTTTATTTGTGTAATTATTAATTATTTTAATATTTTTATAGTCATTAATTATTTTTAATTTTAATCATTTCATTTATTAATTAGTAATTATTAATTTATTATTTATTATTTGTATTGTTTTAATATTATTTTGAGGTTGAAAATTATTTTTTATGAGATAATGCAAATTGAATTCAATATTTCCAATTATATGGATAAAATTGTAAAAACAGTAAATTTTAGACGGTAAAAGGTTGATCCAACACAAATAAATTATAGATTCAGATTCTCTAAAAAATAAAAAAGCATTTATACATATTTTCAGATTTATTTAAGACACTTTTAATATCTGTTTAATTTTTTAGATCTGAATTTTCAAATTTATCAAGTGCCACCAAAATTTATATGAGATAGGAATGGGGTAATCCATATTTGACCCAATCATCCTCTAATAATTCGGACAATCGGATACGGATACCGTTTGTAGCGCTATCAGAAGATTGTTATTTATTACATTGCACGCACCGTCCGAGCTCAAAAGGTCGTTCCTTGCGGACTTTGAATTTTTGCAAGTTTTGAAGTTGGAACCTTCCTCGTTCGGTTTCGTGGATCAGACATGAGACATTGTTTCCTACATTGGTCGCTGGTCGGTTGCTGCTTCTTTATCAATCCTAACCACTCATCGGACGCCCACCCTTATCATGGATCCCACCTTACGTCACTCCACATCCCCACTTTTCCTTCTCGAGATTGGAATCTACGTTACTGTTACACATGGACACTCATTAAAATGTCTTCTGCCTTTCAATGTTTAGCCACGTGGAGCGGGGCAAGTGCTCTGATTGGCCTGCCACGATAGCCTGAAAGCGGGCTATATGATCTGACGTGGCGTATTATGATTTGTCAATCATTACGAGTAGAACAGCAGATTCAAATCTGCCGAATGGAGCTCACTTGGCTTGGCTGTTTTTTTTTGCGGGCCATGCAAGTGAGCTACGTGGCAACTCTGGCTGTGTTACACCGCTCTCATTACTCTCGTACAAATTTTTAATGGCGTGGCCGATTTGATCGGCCTACGGGGCGGGGAGTCTAGGATGTGACATCGTGGTAGCCAAAATGAAGAAATCTGGCAGATTGGTGACGTGGCAAGTTGGTGCCAGGCGGGACTCATAGTTTGATTATCCCTGGGCGAGCGTTTAGGGAAGACGCGCTCCCTGGGTGTTTGGAACAATAACTAATAAAATTCAACAAAGTATAATTTGGACTGAAGAGGAAAGTGGCACTCTATTTTCTCGCATTTCATTTCTTCCCGAGTAAAAACTAAAAAGAGGAGAGAGATTCAAAAAGAGAGAGAAGGGGGTGGGCTTCCTTTTCTCCATTTCGATTTATTTATTTATTTTTGTTTCTCGCGAAAACTCCTGTTTATCTTTGCCTGTTTATATCTTTGAATCTCCGGCGATTAGCCTGAACCCCTGATCTGGATCTTGGAGGAAGTTCGATTTCTAGGGTTTTCTTTGGGTCGTTTCTTAGTGAATCTGATCTGGGTGGGGAGGGTTTGCTCGTTGGTAAGGTTTTGCTTTGCCTTTGTTTTGGTCGGGATCTTAGGGATTCGGAGTTTTTAATTTGATCTAGAGACGGCAGCCATGGAAGCGATAGAGGAGTTGGTTCAGCTCTCCGAGTCGATGTTGCAGGCAAGTGCTCTGCTTGCAGATGAAGATATTGAGGAGAACTCATCATCGCGGAGGGCCTCTACTTTCTTAAATGTCGTCGCCCTTGGCAATGTTGTAAGTGAATCTATCCCTTTGAATCTGTTTTAGAGTCTCTTTCTCGATTGGGTTGATTTGGGTGTGATTGGATTGAATTGGACAGTGGCCCTACTTCTTCGTTGTTTTGTGGGTTTATTTCTGTGTTTTGATGATCAGATCTTTGGATCCGGAGGTTCATTGGGGTTCAGGAATTAAATCAGATGTAATTGGTAACTCAATTTTCCACCCTAGGGCGAATAGAAACACATGAGGAGAATACACACCTCTTCTCCGTATGTAAACAGGATTATATGGAAACTAAGCTTTGAGAGTTTTGGAATTAAATGATGCGAGGATAGAAATATATTTTTTCTTGTAATTGAATTTGGTTTGCCGTAAACGGAAAGAAATGACTTGCAGTAGTTGGGCCTTGATTTGGTGCGCAAACTAAGTTAATTCCTATTGAAAATTTTGGTAGATCTGGTTCTTAAACTTTATGCAGCATTTGAAATTGGTGCTTGACCTGTTTTGGTTACCTATAACTATTTTCTTTCCCCTTTCTGTTTCTTCATTGATATTCTAAGAGGGAATAAATTACTGTCAACATACAGAAAGGTCATCAAGTTAGTAGCCAAATGAAAAAGAATAAGAATAAAATCTAGGGGGAAGTTGGCTGCAAGAGAGGCAAACCATTTAATTACAAGTGTATGAACTCTTTTATGTTACTATTTTATTTAAGAAAATGATAAAAAAGAAAAGATAGAGGGATCTCATCATCCATTTTGCTTTCCTGCGTGCAATGCACTTCAATTAGTATCTTTTTTATTTGTTCTTATATACTTCACAGTCACTATGAATGGTAGTGGAATAAATAGTTCTAAATTGATATTAGCTATCCTGTCAATCAAATCTTTCCTACTTTAGTTAATAGCCATAATACTGATTTCACTTTCTGGAAGTCATCCTTAAACCTTTTCTTTGAGCAATTCATCAAAAATGCAATTTATTCTTCAAATTAAATCTTGTTTTGGAGCTGGTGTGTATTTGTCAATCAATTTCCACTTTTTCTTATGTTTGATTTTGTAATTTACTTTATTGCCAGCTTCCCCCTTTGCAACATTTGTATTAGTATTCAACCTCTTCCATATCAGAATACCTTTTTACATTTATACTCATTACAAGCAAAAAAAAAAAAGAAAAGAAAAGAAAAGAAAAGAAAAGAAAAGAAAAGAAAAGAAAAGAAAAGAAAAGAGAGTTTATTGAATACTTTTGGACTGGTTGAGAGTCAACACTTGGATGATTATCAGACCAAGACAAAAGAAAAACTAACACATCTGTGAAACTTTGAGTTTCCTCCACAGGTGATGAAATAAGAGAGAGTTGATAAACGTGATTTGCTTATGTGCAACAATGATAACTAGTTGCACTAGTTACACTATGAGAAAGAGGACTTTGGTGCAGATTGAGTGCTCTACAATGGTGAGAAGAAGGCTGGAAGTTATATGGGCTAAGGTGCCAAGAGAATGGTCTTAACAAACATGTATTAAGAGATGAAATGGACTGTGATATAATGGAACAGTAAACAATATTTTTATTTATCGAAAAAAAACAGTAAACAAAGGTTTTGATGACGATGAAGATTTCTGTGATTATTTTACTTCAAATCCATGAGCTATCAAGGTGTGGTGGGTTCTTTCTTCATGACAACTAATTATGTATAAAGTATAACGTCTCCAAGTGGTACTCATGCTTATTATTTTTCTGAAATTTGTTCCTTCATGATATCAAGTTGGACTTATCTTGTTTGATACCCATTTTCCGTCTTGCTGTTTCAGAGTGCAAATGGTCAATATGAAGATTTGCTTTTTTTTTTTTAAATATCACAAAGAAATGGTAACTGTGAAGTTAGGATATTGAAAGATGGTCTTCAGTGACAGGTTTTGCCCCCAGAAGACTGCAAGCAGTGGCTACATGGATGGACCAAAAATTGGAATAAATTGAACTTACTTTTATGGATGCTGTCTTGGCAACTTGGTCCATTAGGCATGGGAGTCTTATTTGAAAAAGGTGAACTTTAGAGAGTTGTGGCAACATTATCCTAAGCTTTTTGGGGTCATGAGGAAGTAACACCTGAGGGCAGAGCTCCTTCTTCTTGTTCTCATCGGGTTGGAATTGACTGTGGAAGAGGATTGCTAGTCAGTGATTGGCTGATGACTATTAGAGTCTTGGTTAGAGAAGCAATGACATTGGCGTCAGACCTGAACTGCTTATTCTGGTGGCCACTGAGATTGGGAAGCAGTGTGGCTGATGAGGGTCATAAGGGAAGATAGGGGGGTAGTGGGCCCAGGGGAAACTTGTAACAGGGTGATTCTCTCTGGTTTTCTTATGACTAGTCAGTCTTAGGCCATTATTTATGTATCCTGACTTCAGTTTTTGTCAAATATCATGGTTAATAAAATACCATTTCATGGTTGATGTTAAAAAACTATAGGTTTAGCATTAAGATACATATAGCTACTTGGAAGAAGACTTGCAATATCAAAGAAAAAGAGGACTGTTGTAATCTGAATGTAGACTAGAGTTTGGATTTTGGGAAAAAGATATTTATGATTAGCAACAAATGTAGACTAGAGTTTGAATTAAGATACACATGGCTATTTATCAAAAAAATAAAAGATACACATGGCCACTTATTACATTGTCTTCTAGATTATAGTAAGCTATTGAACTTCAGTGTCAGCCATTAAGGAGCCCTTGACCTCCTTAAGGATGTATTTGGTTTGAAAGAAAAAGGTAGGGAAACCTGTAATTCACTAAAAGACAAAGCATTAAGCTTTTCAGTTCAGCCACTTTATCTGTTATTAAATGAGCTCTTACTCTTAGATTTTTTTGATAGGAAACAGTAACTTTCATTAAGAAGATTAAAAAGGTACAGCTGTCAGGACCCTAAGGATGGCTAAGGAGACCAAAAACATAAAAAGTCTACAAGCAAGCCCAAAATAAGGCCCCCCTGTTTACTCCTTGCTTTGCTAGAGCACTGACCATTCCATTTGCTGATCTTTTTACCCACTTAAACTGTACCCTTAACTCCCTTGCTAAGTATAAAATTTCCCTTAACGGTTGTCTATAAGGCCATGCACCTAACTTTCTTGCTTGCTTCCAGCCGATTACCAATTTGGAGTCATCTTCTACTTCTAGCTGTTGCATACCCCACTACTTAGCCAGTCTAAGACCTTGTAGTAAGGCCTTTATTTCTGCCTGAAGTGAGTCTCCCATCCCAATAGGACCCAAGAAGAGGGCCAACACTTTTCCTTCCTCATCTCTGAAAACTCCCCCAATGCCTGACGGACCTGGATTGCCTAGAGAACTTCCATCAAAATTCAGCTTTACTCTAGCTTGTAGAGAAGGGGACCAACTCTCCTGCACTATATGAGAAGTGGAGGAGGAAGTATCTATAGTACTCTAACCTCTAACCAAATCATCTTAAGAGAAGTCCTTGAAGAGATGCAGAATTTTCAGCCAATGTAAAATTTTGATGGTGATGCCCTCAACAATTGCTTCCTTTGATTTTTCCTGCTCTTGGAAGATCCTGTTGTTTCTTTCCCTAACCGACCAAATTACAGCTGTTATTGTTATTCTCCACATCACCCTACCCCTTTTCTTTGGTTGAAGGAAAAAGCTAGGGTAAAAAAAGGCTTAGCACACATGATGGGGGGTTCCAGATGCAAACCAAAAGAGAAGCGAAACAGTCCCAAATGTAAGAAACAAAAGGACAGGAAACAGGATATAAATAGGTGGGTCACCGTCTCACCATTCCTTAGTTAAAGGCAACAGACGTTAGGGGACAGGCACCAATAAGGCCTTTTCCTTGAAGCACATCCAAGGTATTGATCTTTTGGAGCACCACTTACCAGCATAAAGCCTTAACCTTTGGTGCAACAGGAATAGACCACACTTCTTTCACAAGAAAAGAAGCGGGAACAACAGGATACTTCAGTACAGCATTAAAGAACGAAGAACAGGAGAAAAACCCTGAGGGGGATTTAGTGATTTAAAAGGCACACCTAGCCACATAGGCGAGGCGCATTTTAGGGTAGGTGCCTCGCCCAGGTCCTAGGCACAACCCATTCAAAAGGCGCACGCCTGGTCTGCCTTGCACCTTAGCCTAGGCGTGCGCCTTTTGAAAATTTGCCACTTTTTCCTTTTTTTGAGTTTGGCGGTGGGGTCGGGGGCCCGTGCCATGCCCCTCGAGGCCAGCCCAAACAAGTCCATGTTAGGGTCTTAAATTCTTAGTTTTCACACAAAATTGGAGCTTCGAGAATCCCCTATTTGGTAATGTTGTCCATTCATTCCTCATAAAATATCTTAAAAGCAATTAAAACTATAAAATCATTATTTTTTGTGTGAAAACTAAGAATTTAAGACCCTAACATGGACTTGTTTGGGCTTGCCTCGAGGGGCGTGGCACAAAGGCAGCTCGTAGAATTAGGAATGTAATATCACACATTAGCTACTTGATGCAATTGAGAATAAAAGAGATTGTGGGTTTTATATGCTTGAAAATGTTTTATATGTTTAATTTCATTTTTAAATTCTCATTTGAATATGCTTTACATATTATGCTTATGTATTTTAATTTTAGATAATAGTTTTTTTAAAACATTTATTTTAAAACTTAAGTTTATATTTTTATTAATATTATGTTTTATAATTTTTTTGAATTTTTACCTTTTTTTTTTTAAATTGTGCGCCTTGCCTCAAAAAGGCGCACGCCTCGTCTTGCGCCTTGGGCCTCAAGCGCAAAATGGTCCTTGCGTCTTTTTTGCTTCTTGCACTTTTAAAACATTGGGGGGATTCCGACCAAATTCTACTATCCTCACAAGACAAATTTTTTTTTGATCAATACCTCACAAGACTGATTTAGGAAGACTAAAGATAACAATGAGAACATCTCGTCTGCACTACTCACTTATGAATCTTTCAAACCCCTCCTTAGGCCCAAATTCCATGAACCCTCAGATCCATGGAAGGAAGATATTACCTTGAATTTATTCAAAGAAAGGGTATACAAAGAAGGGAACTTATCCTTTAGGGGAGTGTTCCCACACCAAATATCCTCCCAAAACAGGATTTTGTTACCTGAGCACTCATCTTACCTCTTACTCTTAGTTTTTGTTCCCCATTTATTCTGTAATTCAAAATGTTCCTTGGATGTGGCTGAGGTTATGGACTTATGGCATTGGAATCTCATTTAAATACTCATGAAAAGTGGTAGTTATACCAGTTGTCAAATTTTAAGATTCATGTTTTTGGTTGAGATGGCCACGATTATTGTTTGTCTCTTAGGTCCTAACAATATGTCATGCTTTGTTGGGGGCTTTTCAATAATGGATGAAGTGGCTGAATTGAATGGCCTTCTGCTTTGTTGTTTAGTGGATAAAATAATTGCATAATAAAATATTGGTGCATAGTAATCAACCCAACTTCAGTTTCAGCCATTAAGGAGCTCACCAACTCTTTAGTAACTTATTCACTAAAAGACAAAACAATACCATTCAGTTTGGCCACTTCAGCTGTTACCAAATAACCCCTTTTGTCTCTTTGACAGTTGATTGCCATTGTCATCATCATTGAAGCCTTATTCCAACTACATGGGGTGGGCTATGGGAATCCAATTTCACCATTCCATTCTGTTTAACGCCATATCCATTGTTAAATTATGTGCATTTGTAAGTAAGTCCTTACTACTTCAATCCATGTTTTTTTGGTCTACCCCTAGCCCTTCTAGCCCCTAACGTAACTAATCTTATTAAATATGGACAGAAAAATATGAATAAGTACAGCATCCCATGGACAGGTGGATATTACTACCTCTCCCCATTACAAGTTACAACTGAGCCCTATTAACCCTTGCTTGACTAGTGAATCAGCCAGCACTTCCAGTCCCTTCAACTTGTAACTTTTAGTCTCTTTGATCGTGAAAGGGGAAAAGTTGATGATGTTATAGTGGCGCCTCACAGCTTTTTGCAGCTGTTTGCAAAAATGAAGGTTTTTAGACATACTTTGTGGTTAGTCTCCAGTTGATGTACCATCTGCACCACAAGTTGGACTTTCCTATCAAAATGTCTTTCAACAATTTTTGGAAATCCAAAAAACATTATAAGAGATTGATGCTTGCTTTGTAAAGGATATAAAAATCACACCAGTCATAGTAAAATGATGGTAATAACAATCACACAGAATTTGAAAATACTCTCGTTAATTCCCCATGAACTAGAATAAAAAAGGTGAAAAAAATGGTAATGCATTATTAAGGAGAGCTAAGAGAACTGTTATTGATAAAAAAAGAAATGGTAATGCATTATTTACCAACCTTTAGCTGCATGGTTATGATAAAATAGAAAAGAAAACTCAATCATTTGTGTTTGTAGATTTATATATTGTGATCATAAGACTACCAAGCACCATTGCTTGGTGTAATGTTAAAATCTGTGGCTGACAAGTGTGCAGATGTGGGTTTGAGTCTAAGAGTGGCCGTTTTGTGCCAAAAAAAGCCAACAGTTAAGTCCGTATCCAATCCTCCCTCTCACAACCCCAAATAACTGGGACAAACATTGGGTAATGGCCATTATAATTTATAAGAGATAAGACATCCACTCTAGTCTCTAGCTGCATGGTCAACAATTTTTTTAGAAAGAACCAAATAAACTTTGATCATCCGGAGAGGGAAAACAAGGAAAAACACATGGTCTCCATTATGCTTCTCATCCAACTTTTTTATGGACAAGTTGTACATCAGAATCTTCCTGGTTTCTCCAGTTATGTGGTGCAGGTATGCTACCACTACCTTTTGTTAAAATTTGAATGTCATTGAAGCTGAATAATCAAAACCAAAATGCTCAAATAATAAAGCTTGTGGTTCTGGAGAGAGTCATGTACAACACTTGAACTGTAGGTTGAATATAATTGTAAATGGTTTTCCATTGTTTTTCCTGGGTCAAAAGAAAGAGCTTTTCCTATTGTAGAAGTCTAGTGGCAAGGAACTACATCAAAGGTACGAAGCAATGATAGAGAAATCCACCATGCTTATTGTGGTTTTAGTGTTTTTATCTTGATTTTCCTTATTTTGCATAACTGATAAGGATGCCTGTAAACCAGCATTGTTGAACATTTAATTGACATCCTGTTATGTGAATCTTGATTGTTCCTTCTTATGCATATTTGTTTAGGGTGCTGGTAAATCGGCCGTGTTGAACAGTTTAATTGGACATCCTGTTCTGGTGAGTTTTTTGGTAATTTTTTCCTTTTTCTCTCTGAAATTTTTGGGTTTATTTGATGACTATTACTGACAATTTAAACCTTTTGTTTTGGTCATCCTGTATCCTATTTCAGCCAACTGGTGAAAATGGTGCTACTCGAGCTCCCATCAGCATTGATCTTGTAAGAGATGGCTCCCTAAACACCAAATCGATCATCTTGCAAATTGACAATAAGTCCCAGCAGGTTTCTGCAAGTGAGGCCTCTACAAACTTATACCCAAGTGTGTTGATAGGGCTTTATGATTTTAGTTTTCTGTATTAAGGGGTTGTGTGATAAATAGTTATTTATGTACATTTATATTGTTTTTTTTTTAGTTCACAACAGGCCTTGTTGATTGTTTTATTAATGGCTGTGTGACACAATTTTCATATGTCATAGGTGCTCTCCGGCATTCTCTGCAGGATAGGCTAAGTAAGGGCTCCTCTGGTAAGAGCCGTGATGAAATTTATTTGAAGCTACGTACTAGTACAGGTTAGTTAACTCTTTTGCATTCCCTAATCAAATCACTCTTAAAGATCTGTCATTTGGGGGTAGAATAACTCTAATAAGAAGTGTTCTCTCAAGTTTACCAACATATTATCTGTCACTCTTAAAGATCCCAAGGAAGGTGTCTGAAAGGATCGAAAAGCTTCAGAGAGATTTCCTATGGGAAGGAGTTGGGGGGCAACAGAAGTTTCATTTGGTAAAATGGGATAAGGTTTGCAGACCAAAATGGAAAGGGGGATTGGGTTTTAGAAGGGTGAGGCTATTTAATTGGGCTCTAGCTCTACTGGGTAAGTGGTTATGGAGGTTTGGGCTGGATAGAGAAAATGATACCTTATGGAGGAGGGTAGTGTCTGGGAAATATGGGGTATTGAGGTTTGGTTGGGAGTCAAGAGAAGTCTCAAATTCCTATGGGACCGTGTGTGGAAGGGGATAATGAATTTTAATAGTGAATTCAAAGCTTTGGTTAGTTTTAAGGTCGGGGAGGGGTCAAGAGTGAGATTCTGGGAAGACGATTGGTGTGGGTGGGGATGCTGAGGGATCAGGAGATTGAGGAATGTTTGCTGCTGTTAGAAAAGCTGCAACAGGTTGATATTTCTACTGCCTTCAGAAACGGTCTGTGGTGGAAAGAATGCAAAAATGGAATTTACACTGTGAAATCTTTTTACTTGGCTCTGATAAGGGAGCAGATGACTATGGATCAGGTGGTCGGAGTGTGGGGGAATCCTATCCCTCCTAGGGCGGAGGCCTTCACATGGTTAGTGTCACTGGACAGTATTTTAATTTCTGACCACCTAAAGAATAGAGGCTTCTACATGGCAAGTATATGTTATCTTTGCTGCTCGGATGAGGAAACAGCCTTCCACCTGTTCTACATGTGCAAGACGGCTCATTTGGAATTTCTTCCAAGGTTTAAAATGTCGATGTCGATGGAATTGTTGCTTACCAAAATATAGGACATATGTCGGAAATGTCGAGGGGAAATATTGTAAAAATTAGAGACATTGTGGAAATATTATGAAATATGTGGAAATATGCAATGATATTTTGTAGAATGATAAAAGAAGCATTAATATATATTTCT